GCCGCCAATTTTTCTCCATGTGAGAGCGGCGGCATCACCATTGCCGGAGACGACGGTTGCGATGAGCGCAGCCACGCCGACATCGGGGTGTTCTGCAGCGGCTCACTGCTCTTGGAGAGCGCCTGCAGGTCCAGCAGCCCGGCCGACATGGCTGTCATGCCTGTCGCCGCAGGCCACGCGAGAATCGTGTGAGCGTTACCGGTCAATCTATCGGCGATCGACTCACACACACTAGCGCGCGCCACACACCTATATGCCGAACGCGGGAAAAATCACCTCAGCTGACGCCGCAGCGATCAACGTAAAAAAAGCGATTCCCGGTTATTTGGTTTCACTGGAACGGCTGGGAGCGCTCACAAGCTGGCGCGGCCCACGCTGCACGCGTATGGTGCAGCGGTTTACACCGAAAAACACAAAACTCTGTCACTGACAGTAAAAAGAGCGAGAGGCACAGCTACGCACGTCTGTAGCAGAACGCTTCCGAACTCGGAATCCGTCGTTGGACTTGCTCGGTGCGTTAAAAACTACTCAAATTTTTCCGGATTGTCCGTTTGAAAGACTCCGTGATGCAAGTAAGCGCCCGGATGCTGAAGCTGGTGCAGCGGCACACATTTCATGTGGCCGAGCCTTATATGAGTGATTCTGACTAACTCTTAAAATAATTGCTCAGACATTTTTGATGAAAAATCAAGTGGCACAGTATCAGGAGTGAATTTTTCCTGAAGATCATCATCAAAGGATCCCAAAAATAACTTTCGGCTTTATTTTCCTCCATGGTCCATTGGGGAAACACGATTTGAATATGGGTCAAAATAAAACTTCTTTAAATTTTTGAATAACACTGATCTAGATGCGCTTTTGATATGTTATAGTACATGGTGAAAAAATCCTAAGGCCAAAATTTTAGACTCCATCCCCCCTCATACCCCCTCCACCCCTATAAACGTTCATTTTCTATTTATATTCATTCTGAAGCCTTGGAGTAATTAAAAAATCTGGAAAAAATCATAAAAGTACATATCAACAAAACTAATTACATTGAATTCTTTCAGATTTTTTGAGTGCTTCAGGCCTTCTGATAGAATAATTTAAACTTTGGAAAATTTATATACGGCAATACAAGCCTAAATCAAACTCGAAAATTTTTTTCTCTGTTTTATCGCATTGAAAAACATAACCTAAAATTTCTTTGGATGTTTTTAAGTTGTGTTATGCACCTTTTGAAGCGAAAAACCTCTTTTTCAACAAAAAGAAATCGTAAAAGCTGGAGCTTCAAATGCAAGAATTTTGAAAAACTATTTTTTTATTTCTTGATGAAAGATTTTGAAACTTTTTTGTAATTTTTCGTTTTGTTTTTCCTAGTCTACCGCCGTGCCTCTTGTCCTCGGACAGATGCGGTCTGTTTGGGTCGTTATCGAGTTCCTATACACGAAAAAAAAAGCTCAGTAAACTGTACGAAAACGCTAGTTATAACAACAAATTTCGTTTTTGTTACCTCAACCGAAATATTTTAGTTACGACAACTATTTTTCCTGCTACTACAACAAAATGGACTTTTGTTGTCCTAACCGAGAAAATAGTTGTCGTAACTAAACAATTTTGGTTGTGGTAACAAAAACGAATTTCGTCCTTGCAACTATCATATTGATTTACCACTTTTTACTGCACACTGAAAAAAAATGTATAAGTTAGTCCATTTCGTTGTAGCAACAGAAAAAATTCAAATTGGCTAAAATTAACTAATTAGATTAAATTTTTAATTTTAATGAGTCACGATTAATTGTTTAAATTAATTTTAATTTAGAAACTTTAAAAATTATGAAACAATTTTAATTATTAATTTGACAAGTGTTAGATTAAAATTAATTTTAATTAGTAGTCGGGGAATTTTCAAATTAATAATTCAATTGAATAATTAATCGAGGACATTTCGGATTAATACATAAATTTTAATCTTTAATTTTTAATTTATTAATAACAATAATTTATTAATAAAAATGATTTAAAAAATTATTTTCAAGATACGAAATATATTATTTTTGGTTTTAGATAACGATCGACTAATAAAATTACTTACTTATCGATTCCTTTAAAAGCATCAAATTCAATCATAGATAGCTTGTTCTCATAAACCGTCAAGATTTCTAATGTATCTAGGCCTTCGAATGCTCTTTTATGAATAATTGTTATTTTGTTATGATTAATATTTAGAATAAGAAGGTGATGCAGATTTTTCAAGGCAACAGATGGTACTGATGCTAAGGAGTTTTGTGAAATATCCAATTGAGTGAGAGATTTTCCTGAAATTGATTGTTTAATTAATTAATTTTAAGAATGAACATTCAAGTATATGTTGACTTTTATCATAATAAATTAAAATCAAAACACAAACAGCAGATATCAAGAAAAAAACTAAATAAATAAGTATAACAAAATATAATATAACAAAAATATAGTTTAACAAAAGAACTAAGTAAAAGAACTAACAAGGAGACCACCCCACCTGAAGGTCATGAATTTGCTCCGAACTTTTTTTGAGGTCTCAGGGTACCAAATACTGTGCTCGCAGACCGGGACCCGGTGACCGAATCAGTGTATTATCTTATTCACTGTCATATTTTCAAAATCATAACTATCCATCGAGTAAGAAACTTCAGTGGTGGTTCCTAGGTCTGGGACTGGTGCATTATTTAAATAATCAATCATAAACATGTCATTTTTCAGAGGGTCCATGTCAAATCTTATTCAGCGTGAAACCTTATTAGGACTTTAGTTTGAATTGTATAAGTTGTGAAAAACCATTTCTTACACCCACCAAGTGGTGCAAAGCTTTTCTTACGGAGACCGTAAAGTGTCAAATTTTTCGAGGGTACTGTCAAATCTTATTCAACGTTTAACTTGTTGCAAATGAAACTTCTGATTATTAATAACAAAAAAATCAATTTCTTACGCCCCAGACCCGGGGATAAGCACTTTTTACAGTCCGTTGAACATGAGCACTCGTCAGCTCTGCAGTCTTAGAACAATGCATCTCACGCGATCACCTTCTTTTCAAATTTATTTCTAAGTAAAATAGTACATACTTATATAATTATTTAATACAATTTTTATTCATATTACTGGTTCAAAATAGTTAAAATATTTTTTATGAGTGAAAAGTATTAATAAAATACACAGATTGCGTGGTTGAAAAATAATTTTGAATAATTTATAAGGTTGGGTGAAATAATTTTTTTATATGATGCTGAAAACAAATTTTAAAAATAGGATATTCACTTTACTATAGTATAAGTTTAAACTGTGTAATGCCGAAACGGTATTATCGTAGAGTAAGTCGCCCGACGAATCATTGTCGGTCAAGGCTATAATAATGATGATCGAATATTATGAGATGCTGCGTGATTGTTCCTTTCTCTGTTATATGTAAATACGACGGACGACTGAGGGAGAACAGAGAAGCGAAGTAGAAGGCACGTGTGTCGAAGAAGCATGAGTTAGTTACCGTTGGACCGGTAAAGCGTACAGGCTCTCGGAGCTACTGTTTTGCTCGCGAGTCGCGCTGTGTGTACACGTGTCTTTATATCGATTGTGCCAGGGTGAATGCAAGCACGAGATAGTCCAGGAGACTATCTACGTCGAGCCACAGGTGTGAGAGTGTCCGCGGGAATTAGTCCTAAGTCCTCACATCCCAGGAGAGCGAGTGAGAGTGAGCTCGAGGTCGTGCTTGTGTGTGTGCGTGTGTTGTGTCTGAACGAGTCGACCCGATCACCACTGCAGAGGTGACCAGCGCCGTACTCAAGGAGCCACCACATCCGTCTGTTACAGGGACCCGAGCCAGCCAGAGGACCACCAGCCAGGCGACCGGCAGCGGCCAACTTCCGGTACCCAGGGACCGACGTCGTCAACGGTGAGCTGACCGTTGTCTACTTCCTAATTATTATTGGTGCTTGAATACGCTCGAGAGAGCTACGTTGGCAAGAGCCATTAATGGTCCGGTCTCACTCTCTCAGAGACCTTTTTGTATATTAAGTAGATAATAAATCGTTATTGTTTAAAATAGAATCTCGAGTATTATCTTTTATGCGTGAATGTGTGAGTGATGATATCCTGCCCCGTATTGCATGAAGCTTACAGGTAGACCCCGGACGTGCAGGACGGATCCATAAGCCAAAGGACACACATAACCGACGAGGTACGTCGGGGTAAGATCAGAGGTTATAACTGATCTCGATTGTCCTGCTAAAATATATTCCCGCGTTTCAAGACAGCGTACTGTATATTTTGTTTCTCCTTCCACAGTACACTCTCTTGGTCTTTCACACTCTTTCATGTTTCAAACTCTAGCCTCATCCGTCGTAACGATTTTTTTTGAACTGTAAAAACGTGGTGAAAATGTCAAAACCAATTTGCATTTTTTGTAGTAAAAGTAAGTCAAAGTTACAAAAATTCGATGATGAACAGTTAAAAAGGGGCCGTGAAATATTAGATGCAAGAAAAAAATACAACATAAAATACGCAAAAATTAGTATTGCAAGTAGTGTTGATAGCTCCAAAAATTATCATTCTGATTTTTATCAAAATTTCACTGCATTTAATTCCAAGTATATACAGAAATTTAAAGATATGACAACTAGTGCATACACTTCGAAAGAGTAAGTATACTTTTACTATCATCCAAATCGAAACTTTCTTGCTAGCTTTTGTATCAGTCTAGAGTCTAATTTTGACTATTTTTATCATTAAATTCAATATTTATATTTTAGACTTGAACTCTTTATAAATTTTCTGGAAATTTTAATTAATCGAATAATTCAAACAGAACAAAAATTTATTAATTTTTTTTATCAAGCGATTCCAGCTCAGCAAGTATTGCATGCTCTGAGAGTGAAACAATTGATGATAATGTTTTTGATATGGAATGCGGGTGAGAGTCTAAAACTAATTATAATGTTTAAATATTATTAAAGCATTTTTCTACATTAATCAAATCTTTTTTTGTTTGCTTTTTTGCTAGCAATGACGCTGAAGCAAGTGTTGAAGAGTGTTCACTGCTCTTGAGATTGAAAATACAATCGTAGATAAATCGAATGAAAATGCAAGCCTAAATAAATCGAATGAAAATAATGTTACTGATGAAATGAATGTGTGCGTTATTTGTAAATTGGTAAGGAAACAATTCAACAGTGAAGACAAAGTATATCATCCAAAGGATTGAGATGACTTTGACTTAATAAATAAAATTAAATCAACAACGTTGCAATTGGAAGAATTAGAAATAGTTTCACGCATAGGAGATAAAAATTTAATACACTACTATAGATTGTGCAAAATTGGAATCGAGAATAAGTTACGATTGATTGAAGTAAGCCGGAAAGAAAAAATCGAGTGGCATCAAATTCGCCATGAAAATAAACAAGCATTTGAAGCTGTTTGTAATGACCTAGTCATATCATCTTTGCGGCCGTAGGCAGGTGAAACACGGGGCGGCAAATCAGCCCGATGCAACACCAAGTCCCGAACGGGCATGCTAGTGTACGGCCGCACACGTACACCGCAGCGCGCACTGGTGTGAGTGCGCACACGGACAGAGCCGTGAACGTTAGTGTGCGACTGCACACGTACACCGCAGCGCGCACTAGTGTGAGTGCGCACACGGACAGAGCCGTGAACGTTAGTGTGCGACTGCACACGTACACCGCAGCGCGCACTGGTGTGAGTGCGCACACGGATAGAGCAGCAAACGTTAGTGTGCGTCTACTCACGTACGCCGCGGTACGCACTGGTGTGAGTGCGCACACGCATGGAGCAGCGCGCGCTTGTGTGAAGCATGGCTCGCGCTTGCAAGCTACAAGTCGAAATTTATGATGCCTCCGTTACCAGGAATGCGATAGGGTAACCGGCTCGGGCAGAAAACCGGATGTTGGCAAAAATCAGGTCACAACTTGCGAGCAAAGAAACTAAGAGGACGGCTCAAGCATTCGCTAAAATTCCCAGACACGACGGATGGGAAAAAACGCGCAGCCCGCAAGCTCTAGAGGACACATAAAGTTCACGGTGACCCTAGCTCAGACAAAGAGGGTACGGCAGCAACAAACAGTATATAAACCGAGACTCAGAGAGTCTCGGGGCCAGTGTTCATTCTCGGTTCGAAGCGTGCACATCGACGCTCGTCGGTTCGGTATTCACGTACATCTTTACTTCTCGAGTCAAAGTTCGCAGTTTACTTGAAAGCCAGCCTGTTGCTCGGCTCCGACCAGATAAAATCTGTGCGAGTTAGTTATTCGAAAGGTACGCGAGCTCGTCCAGCTGCAACCACCGACGCCGCCCAGCACGGTGACACCGTGCCGGCTTCAACGACACCGAGAACACCCTCATCGACACCGAGGACACCCTTGTCGACGCCGATCTCCTCGACGCCGATCTCGCCGACGCCGATCACCCTCACCGACGCCTTCAGCCACCGCACCGAACGTCGCCACCGAAGATAAGAACATCGGTACATAGTAAGCAACATTTATGTAACTAGGATTAAGGTTAAATAAACAGTCTTGTGTGTGTGTGAATCCAAGTCTCTGTGTTATTCATTTCTCCACCACGCCCCACCCAAGAGACATAGAGTCGAGTCATTAGCTTTCAGTCAGCTGGCATATATTATTAATAATAAATAGATGGTCAAACTAGCCATCACATGTTAAAGATTTTGTAAAAAATCACTTAGTGATAGAAAAAAAAATATAATTTTATTTTATCTGAAAGAGCTATACATCAATGAGTACAAAACCATTCACAAAGTTGAAGATGATAATTTGTGTGATACTAAACATGTAGAAGAAAGGTTGTTAAACTCATTTTCGTATGAAATATAAATGCGATTTATTAAAAATACAAAAATTGTTGTGCCGTATGGGGCCACTATTCTTGAAAATGATATTCCTGGTTTATCTAGTGACTAGCAGCTGAACTGCTAAGGCAAGAAATATTAAATATGCCAAGTAATATATTACAAGATTTCACTATTGAAAATCTAATGAAAGGCGAGAAAAAGATTCCTACTTCACTAATGACATTCTTAAATACTTTAGTATGTGGGAGTAACTCAAAAAGATCAAGAAATGACGAGAACCTCCGTTCCAGTACATCAATTGCACAAGATATCATTTTTGCTGTTTTAAAAGGATGAGTAAAGATAGGAAAACATATTACCATTGCGCTTGCTATGAAAAATTTGACGAATAGCAAAAGAATAATAAGCATTTTGAACAAGTATGATCATTGCTGCAGTTACTCTGTGCTTGAAGGG